CACGGGTATATGATACAAGCAGGTGAAGAGGGGTCAATGGTCTAAGAATTCTGGATGGGTGAGTATCGCACATTACGACGTCTTGGTCGCAGATGACCTGAAATGCAGCAGCTCTTCCTTGCAGCTCTCCCGAAGCACCAACAGACCCCCAAGATACAAGACAGAAGGAACGAACGACAGTCAACGCTTGCAGATGGTCTTCTTCGGAACCAGACGGCTGCTCGCAGTGATCTGCTGCTGGACACGCATAAGTCATAAGTGTTCCGGTTGCTTGCCAGAGTCGACGTGAAGGGTTAAGGGCCGGTGGCCTCTGGTTGCAGCGCAGCGGCATTCTGGTTATCGAGCGGTTTGGTCCGATGTCTCGCTCGTTCGCATTGCGATGACCCAAAGGTTGTCCTTCATGCGGGGCATAGTCAGCAGGATGCAGCTCCGGGGCAGGACGGGATGATCTGGTGCTGCGACTCACTGTGTGTTACCAGATCGAAGCAGAAGCAGCATTCCCGAGAGATGGCGACCGTTTCTCGCGTCTCGGCAAGGAGGCTGGTGACCTCTGTCATCGATGCAGTCGAGGAGAAGGTAGCAGAAGTCGCAGAGGACGGGACATCCCAACCTCAAACGTTTCAAGCTGGCACCAGGAACAGCCCGTAATGATTGGGTCTCCTCAACCCAGTGCAGGTTGGGGCTGCGTGGGCCACGGACGTCGTCGAGCGAGATGATTTGGCAATTCGCAGCTTCACCCTGACGAAGCAGGGCCTTGTGAAGTCGTTGCCGTACCCCTGCAAGACGGCCGAGTGCCCGTACTGGGGTGACCATGGGCGACCTGGCATATCAGGTCTTGCTCTTGTGAATAGAAAGCTGGTCCGATTTTCCGACCCATCTCCTTTCCATGAGTCGAGGAAGGCGTCTCCAATGATTCCTGGACTGACGGCAGTTCTGTACCTGCTCCTGCGATATGCAAAGCATCTTAGCTAGCTTTCGGGTATTCCTCGCACTGCCTGATGCAATTCAGGTTGATTTGTGAGAGCCGCGGGCAGCAAATCATGTTGATGCCAGGTATCCTATGGAGCATGCATTGGCAGTGAATGCAATTCTGGGTGGTGACTCTGCGGCGCGAGGAGTTGTTTTGGGAATGCTGCTCGGAGCCTGGGAAGAACTCATCACTTTTCCCGTTGTTCGGTTCCTGTGCGATGATGCTTCTGCATCTGCGCGCTGTTGAGACCTGATTGCGTAAGGTGCCCTGCACGACCCCGAGGCGATACCGCAGAAGCTGCTTCAGCATCTTGCTTTCACTGCGTGTCATATGCCAAGGGCCACAGTCCACTTTCAGTTCCTTGACACAACGAACCTACCCATCTCGGTCCAGGCAGCTGAATGCCGCTGGCAAAGTCCAGAGGCTACTGAAAGCAGTCGAGCCGAAAAAGAACCCGGGAAGGAAGGTCAGGAGGAATCGGATGCAACATCTTGGGAGCGTACGTCATTCTTGAGCCGTGGGTGATGTTCACGTGCAGACTGACGTTAGGTGCGCAAACTCTGGCACTTTTTTCTTTTGCGTTCTCATAGATCCATTGCACGACATTCTGTGTGAGAATGTGGGTGCCTGTTGCCAAGAAGATCGGAGGTGTCATGGATTTAGGGCCTCGCTGGCACGCGGCCAGGTGGGAATTCCTGCCATTTCATGCTGGCCGAGTTGTTCTTGTGTGAGCCGTGGATTGAACGACCGATAGCTCGGAGAAGATGTGCGAGTGGCGAAAGAGGGCGTAGAGCCCATGCCAGGTGGCGTAGGAAACATATTCATATTCTGGGCAAGGCAACAGCTTGGAAGCTCGCGAGTCATATGTGCAGAGCTCTGAATTCCGATTCAAACATTAAGTGTGCATGTGCCGAGAACCGACTTTGCTTTGCGAGTTTCTCCTGGTTCCAGCTTTGAGCAACTCGTTAAGGCAGCAAGGAACAGGAAGTAACTGCATCATCTGCAGCACATGGCAAAGCTCGTAGTTGAAGTTTTGCTTCGCAAGTGATGCAGCAACTCCATGTTTATGCACAGCCCTAGCTGTGCCGACGAGCGCTGGCACTATGCAGCAACTCCCGTCAGCCTCAAATGCTGACTTCGCCGAAGAGATCGGGGTTGCTGACCCAGAGCCAGCTTTCAGTCATCACGACCTCCTATGTAAAGATATTTACGCGAAGAGCTCGAAGGGTTTAGAACGGCTGGGTCGGTTTATCCAGGACAGAGAGGCTCGGGAAAAGGAACGGGCAGACTGGTCGCGGAACAGATACAGGTATCAGATTGAGTCCGCCAGGCTATGGAAAGACCTCCAAGAGTGTGCAAACCGCTTGAAGCAACCACCTGTGGAATTGCCGCCCTTGGATCCAGATGCCTTCAACCCGTGGGCCGTCGAATCAGAAACGCGTGCTCCATTCACTGCACCAATATTTGGTGCCCCAGCAAGACCCACAGCTGTTCGCAAAGCGAAGGGGCTCTTCTCACCGTATGCCTCGATGAGTGACTTGGCGGCGGCCTTCCATGCACCCGAAGAGGGAGGTCGCTGCTTAGCACAGCGTGCAAGATCAGAGACAGAGGTATCAGTGCTGCGACCAACACCCGGGCGAAGACCTCGCGGTTTGATGAAAGGAGGCCCCAAGCAGGAGATCGTTTGGCCTGGTGGTTGGATACCAAAGCAATCAGTCGGAAGTCGAGGCCTCCCGCCAGGTTTCATCACTGCCAAAGCCTTCCCGAGCGGTCAGGTGATGTACCCGAAAGACAGATGGTTTCCGCCGGAGAAGACAGCACCAAGCTGACTCTAGCCTGCTGGATTGATGTTTCGTGCTATGTGCAAACCTACTTTGCCGAAGGCAAAGTTGACCCATTGAACCCCTTGATTTTTACCTTAGTCCTGCTTGCCCACATCGTGTGGGCTGGAAAGCGCCAGAGACAGTGGTCAACTTAAGGTTCTTCCCGCTGTGTCACAAAAAGTCAGTGAGTCGGCGCTAAAGCTCGAGGGAGCAAAGAGACTGAGCTGCCGGCAGAGCATGACAATGACAGCTGCTGCACGAGCCGTCAAGCACATCTTGGCCCAAGCTCGTTGTAGACAGGAGGTTTGACCTAGGGAGCGTGGGCGGCTAAGTCGTTCTGAGCGCACTCTGGCTTGTTCGGTTCACAGTTGCCTCACACGACTGAGGCCAGGGGAGGTGGAGCCATGGTGGATTTCGAATACGACATGACGACATGGAAGGCAAGCGCCACTTTCTGTTAGCAAAGCCGAGACACACTGATAGCGGAAGTTGGCGGACAGCTTTTGGACAAAAAGCTATCTTTTTTCAGCAGCTGCATTCTGCAGCCACCTCTCCCTGCTTCGGGGCTTCACACTGGCGCACATGGCAGGAAGCCAAAGTCTGGAGTGGAGGTCCAGTGGAAGAGTGGGAGGCCTTGGGCATTTCTGGAGCGACTGATTGTGTTTGCATCCAGCAAGGTTTGCCTTCAGCGGTGTATTGCTTCTGGTCTTATGTTGCCGACTAGCATGGCCTGCCATGGCAGCACTGCAAATCAAGAGGATGTGACTGTGCTTCTTCGGTATAGGTGCAGAGTGGTTCCCCCGAATCAGGTGCAGGGAAAAGATACGAAGAAGCCCGCAGTCTCGATTCACCCACGTGGCTCGTCTGTGCTACATTCTGCGTTGTACTTTCGCCAGTCTTTAGTTTCGGGGCTGCTTGCGAGATATTGTTCGACCTCTGTGACCCCTTCATGCCTCCAAGGTGACATGATGGACTACCACGGCCTAAGGCGCAGTTTGGGTGGGCCAAGTCGGCTAGGTGTATGTTGCAGCTTGAAGCCGAGCACTGTCGAACATGCAAGTATGGCTGAGCTCGAACCACGATCAGACATGCACGTTTCCGAGTTTCCAAGTTTTGCTAGGGAGGTGTGGTTTCCTTATGTTTCCTTCAATTTAAGCATGGCACGAACATGCTCCAACACTTTCGAGACAGCCAGCTAATTCGAAGAGGCTCGCATGCAGGGTGACGATTGTTATCCATTCCCTGCGCAGTAACATGTGGCCTCGGGAGCTCTTCTCCAGAGCTGTGGCCCTGGGGGAAGATCAGTACCTCGAGGTCATCAAACTGCAGGAGCGAAATGGTTTTGCAAGGGTGCTTTGCCAGGGGCCGTCAATGCTCTTGGGCATGCCATCAGGAAGAGCTGAAGTTCCATTTCTACTACACTGGGAACCTCGGCTTCTAGTCATTTGTTTCACATGGATGCTCTCAGCTCAGACCAAGCGAGACACTCTCAGGCTCGACCCACTGGACGGGACAGATGATCCGAAGGAATACTTGTGCCCGGACCCTTGTGCATTTGTGTCGTCGCACTCTATCGGCAACACCTCAAGCATGTCATGTCGACGGAGTCAAGCAGAAAATTGAGCTTGCTCGCCCTTTCTTGGGGTGGCTTCAGTTTTCGCCAGCAAAGGGACAGCATCCCCTGGCTCCTTATCTTCCAGGCTTGGTCGTTTACAGCAAAGCCAACTGGCCTGGCCTGAAAAAAGGCCAGGGCCCAGGGGCCTGGTTTCGCTTTGAGGGTTGCGCGAGAGACGAGAATGCCTGCGCAAAGCAGGCCTGCGCCAGATCAGCATCGACATCGATGCCTCGCCGGAAGAAGCGGTAGACAAGGCCAGAGGTATGGGAAGCTGACACATGCTGAGACATGTCAAGGCCATCAGTGAGCCCTCCCAGGATACGGAGGACCTTGCCATCCAAATGATGCTTCGGGCATCGGATGCAGGGAGCCAAGCAAGGCAGCAACGCATCCTCCGGTGCAGGCCGGACGGCCAAAGCTTCCATCAACTCAGCCCAGGCATGGATAACCTACTGCGATCCCTGGATGAAGCGCGAGTTCACAGATGATTCTGCCGTTCTTCAACCTGGCAGCTTCACCCAACTCAGCTTGTCGAGTTGCTTTGTTAGTTCTGCTTCTTGGGCAAGCTCTTCTTCTTCTTCGTTTAAAAGGAGGCACGTGCACGTGCCTCCGTTTCGGGTGGTGTGGAGCGAGAGCGAGAGGACTCAAGCCGATCCGAGTGCTTGAAAGGTTTGACCTTCAGGGCAGGCCGAATCGTGCGATCGGCATGCCAAGCTTGTGTTCTGGCAGTAGACAGCCCCTCGAAACAACAAATGAAGGAAGGCAAAAGGAATGGGACACGCCCTCCCTCGCGCGCGCAACACGGGAAGATGGCGAGAACAACAGAATGGGACAAACATGAAACAGGTGCACGGTGCAACGAGTTTTGTTGTCAAGCTTGTTCTCCAGACGTCTCTTCACTAAGGCACCGTATACAGACTCCGCCTCAGCCTCCAACGAGCTGCAGAGATGTTTTGAAGACAAGTGTACCGAAACTGGGGTGCAGCTAGTGCTGGCAGCGAACTCAGAAGTGTGGTCGCACGCCGAGGATTGCGAGAGGACGGGCTGAAAGAGAAACTTGGCCTCTAGGATCTCCCAGGTAAGGCACCCAAAGACGGTGAGCTTCCTACCGAGCTGGCTGAGACCGCGCTCTTCCACACGTGCAGCGTCGTCTCCACTTCCAGCTGCATCAAAAAGACATGCTGTCCAATTCAGCAGCAGGTGTCACTGGCCTCTTGAACACAGTGGTCAACTGCAAAATATCTGGGCCTGTTCCCCTGTGCAATCTGCCCGTCGGTCCACAACGACGTCATTGCTTGTTGTTTTTCCGACCTGTATGCTTTTGGCTTTCAGCGTTGCAGCTCTGTCCATAGTCTGGGCAGACTTTGTTTCGATGGCAGCTTGGCTGAAACGGAGCATTGGCAGGTGGCATGCAGTCGCTTTTGATTGTGCCAGCGATCCTTTCGCCGCCGCTTCTGGTGTGACTGCCGTGGCCTGTGCTGGCTCGTCATATGCCATTGCAGCTCAAGCTCGGAGCTGTCCCAGCCATGAAGCTCTTTGCTTGGTGCCTGCTGCCTGTGGCCTCAGCGTCTTCGCCAGGCCTCTCCGTCTTCGGCCACAAGGCTCTCTCGAGCTTTGAGTGTCGCTCTCTTTGGAACTCTGTGGTCTGGCAGAGGTTCCAGACACGGACACAGTGACAGCTGCCTTGGTGGAAGCCTCAATTTCATGCTTGCGAATGAGGCCGTGCACAGCATCTGTACCGCAGAATGATAGAAAAGCACTCAAAAAGCTGCCTGTCGGAAACTTGAGGTGTATGCCTGGGAGCTGAATGCCAGGAACATCTCGGCCACGGCCTATCGCCTTGGTGAGCTGAATCCAGAAACCGATTCTTGACCCGAGTTATTGGTTTTGGAGAGCCTTGAAGCATATTCCAGCACTGGGTTTTCCCCAGTTGCCCGCAGGTCGTGGACACTTCAGCTGAAGCAGAGCTGTACTTGCGTCAAAAGTTCCTCAATCACCCTAGACAGCTGAATGTCGAATCCGAAGACCCAAACAGGATAAGGCCTCCCAGGACTTTGTGCTCAAACGCCTTGGAGTGGCGGTGCCACCGCTTTTGGCAGATGTCTCGGCGAAGGTGGGCACTGTGAGCCGGCCAGGTCCATTGCACGGTGTTGTTGGGCCAAGAAGCATCGTTTCAAGAATTGTGCCGCACTCTAATCGCAGGGTACCCTTTGGCCTCGCGGGGGTATATGCGTCTAGCTGATGCCCATCCCGAAGGATGCGGTGGCTGTCGTGGACACAAACAATCCGCAAGAGCTCCCAGAGGCGACCGCCGCTCTCACGGATGCCAAGCTCAGATGCCCTGAGAAAAACGTACATTTGCGTATTTGCGTTATTTGCGTTATTTGCGCATTTCGCCTTCGAGATCGACTTAAGTGTTGCCGGGGTGCGGTTCACTTGACCAGGGCATCCTGAAAGCCAGCATCCACTCAATCGTCGATCACCACAAGCTGAGTGGCCTCACCAACGCAGAGCCCTTGGAGGCTACAAGTCCATGTCCGGCATGAGAAGGCATCATATCCTGTGATGCTGCATGGGCAGCACATTTATGCAGTACCAGCATGATGCAATTTGCCCCGCTGCAGGTGGACATGAGGCCCCTCTGTTCTGCCACTAGCATCCTCTACGCACGCGCGAAGCTCCTGGGACTAGCCCCACCGAAGGACGTGGCGGGCTTGATGCTTGCAGGCTTGCAGTGGCTTACCGGGTGTCTGTATGTTTGGACCTCCGGCCAGTCCTGCTTGCAGGGATTCTCTCGGACTCCTTGGAGTTCCGGTCGCCGACCACCACAGAGCTTGACAAGGTCCACGCGGGTGAGCTGGGCAAGTTGGCCGGTACCCGTCTCAGCGAGCCAGATCACGCTAGCCCAGTGTGCCGCCAGAGTGCCCAGGCCTGGATGTCCATGAGTTTGCGGAAGGCATGCTTGAGGCGAAGGCCAACGTTGATCATCTGAGTCCTTCAGAACTAATCATGATGGACACGAGCCTTGGGCTCTTTTGGCATCCTTTCGAATCATTGCATACCTGAGACTTGTCAGAAACTGTTCGTTCAATTTGCCGGTCTTGTCCCAGGAAGATTTTTACCATCGGTGGCAAGAAGCTGCGGGTGTCGGTCATGGAGACCACCAAGGCAGCTGGGCCGCTGGCAAAGAAGGACGAGCTGCTAGGATGAAAGTAGAGCAATTAGACGACCTCCTGCTACGGCGACGAGGAGTCTAGCAAGGATAGACGGCAGCAACATGGCATGGCCCAGAGGGAGGGCACGCATTTTACAGAGCTTGCCAAAATTCCTAAACAAGGTGGACGACGTAGGACCAACTGCATCCTCTCTGCCTCTTTGCGGTTCTGTTCCACGACAAGGCTTGTAGCCGCAATGCGAAAGCTGACCCTTGACGAGAAGCTGGACGACGTTCTGTTCTTTGCCGCCGGGCGGGATAAGAGGTGAGCAGTACTGCAACGAATGGCCTCTGGAATGCTTGCCAGAAGTGGTGCCGAGGTGGTTGACATACTCAAGGAAGCGGCCACATTCATCTCGTCTTCTGCCACGGCCACCAGACTGGTGGAGATGCTGGGCTTTACAGCCCGAGATTTCCCAAACTGCACCCGCCGCCCATCAAGCATGTTAGATCGGTCAGCGCACCAGCTAAAGATGCATCTTACTACATGTGCACCACCCTTGCAGACAACGGGGTTTCGGAGCTTTTCGAAGGCACGCCCAGCCTCAACTGTCGTGTGAAGGCTCGACGCCATGAAACAAACCGCCAGGTAGCAAGTACAACCGGTGCTGGAAGGATCTAGAAGTTAGAAGTTCATCGAGATTTCATAGTTTCCGAAGCAGTTGGGCGCAGAGCCGACCATATTCACATTTTTTTTGGTTGAGTTGTATGTGCAAAACAGTGGCCGCTCGATCTCTGCAGCATGCGGTTCGCTGCGGGCTTATACGGGCACCTTACAAAGCCTCGGCATGCCCCCCGCTTTGCAAGGAAGGCCTGGGGCGTGAAGGTGGATGCAGAGGGCCTGGTGGTGCTGCCAGGCGTCCTCTCGCGCAAGATGCTTGCTCAAATTTAGGATGGGTCGGATCGCAGAGACGTGCGTGGTTTAGAGCAAGCGGTATCTGAAGTTCCCGAGGAAGCAGATCATCCCCAAACTGGAAGCTGCGGCGAAGCAGGAGCTCTGAGAGTCCGAGAGCGATGCCGAAGTAGTACAAGCAAGCTACCGAACTCCAGGTATCGCTGTTTCTGCAGGTGCCGGATAGGACACAGGAAACCTGTCCCGTAACCGCGACCTACGCATACCTGCTCCATTCAACACTACCTGGCGCCTGTCTTTGACCAGCGACCTTCCATGGCGGTTTTAATGCTGTTTTTCCTATTCAACAGCGTGAATTGGAGGCTCAGCTTGCCTTCCTCGAGGGACGTAAAAGATTCCACAATCTCGGCTTAAGGTGAGCGAGAGCCACTAGTCTCTTTCTCGCAAAGGCTCCTGGCATTATACCGACCAGACCACAAGCAAACGGTCTGATGAAGGCTTGATTGCTTTACACTGCCAAGATGCCCCGGAAATCCGTCCGGGCGTTATGCACAGTCCCAACGAGCGCCTGTGCACTCGCGTAGCAACGAGTGGCCAGAACTCGAGCCGTGCTCAAAGAAACCGTGCGACAACTCGGTCAAAAAAGGATGCAGGAGGTACTTGCAAAAGAAGTTCGTTCTCTCGAGGGGCGGCTTTTTGGTTGAGAAGCGGTCCCAAGGTGAAGGGCGGCGACAGAATCTCATTGTTCGTGATGGGTGTCTTTCTTGTGGGCGAGACTCATGGGCTAACTGATGGTTCCAATACGCCTTGGAAGGGAAGCCGAAAAGCCAATTCCATCTCAGAGTCAAGTGGCTCTGTCGAGTTATTTGCACAAAGTACGGGGCATCTAAGGAGGATTATGAGATCGCCGGATGGGTCGAGAGGCTGGATGATGCTTACGGATTGCCGGAGCTGTGTCCGACGTTTCATCTGTGAAGCATGCTCCTGCTATCGGTGCATTAGTGGTTCATCATAAAGTTGGATGGGTTCCATGGCCATAGCATCCATGACATGCCACATTGGCATGGATCCGCTCCCCATGACGTTATGCTGTTCGGCAGGCGTGGCCCAATGGTGGATTTCAAGTGGCATACGGCTGAGCGGCTTCTTGCAAAAAGGGAACGTCAAGAGCAGATATAGATGCGGTCATGATGTGACAAAGCCGAAGTGGCCTCTGATTTCATTTTCGGGAGCATGTGCCTGAGGCAGAGGCGTTGGGTTGTTCTTAAACATGGTCGGCTGAACACCTTTCAGGACGAGGCCTCGAGACGTTGTTGAGTCGCCCATGCGTGCGTGTGTGTGCCCCTGCCCACTGTGCTGTACAGGAAGCGCTACAAAAGTAGCAGGAAGGAGTGAGCAGTGGATGTAGCACCGAGCACTGCATTGTGACTTCGCAGGCCTGCTTGTCGCCCAAAGCCGCGTTCGAGCTGAACGCGGGCAGCAAAGTCGTGCCCTTCAAGGCCTGTGTCCTGTGTCTGGGATCCTGCAATGAGGCTTGGGGTCTACAGGACCCCGTCGAGAGCTTGCACTGGTTGTGGGACAATTGAGATGATTTTGAGAGTGGACGGGACCCTGGGTTTCCGAATAGTAGCTGTTGCAACCAGCAGTTAGGAACAGAGGCCCCCGGGTGTAAAAAGGGCACGTTAGTCTGAGTGTTGGATGGGCGAAACCTGTTGCCTCAGTTGCGCGATGCAGTGATGAAATCACGGTGTCCTGGCAAGCTGCTAATCGCAACATATCGTAACCCTTTTCTTTTCCTTGTGACGAGGCGCCGGGTGCTCCGGGACAGTCGGTGTTGTACAGCTGCGATCTCGGATTTGGAGTGCTGGGGTTTGCTGTATCTGCAGCCGGCCGGATGCTGCAGGCCGAACAAGACCTTTCGGCTTTGTGCTGGACCTCGAGCCGCAGGCGACGCGAAGATTCGAAGTCAACTGCTTGAACTTCCTTGAATGCTTCCCAGGCGGGAAAGTCGCGGTGGATGGTGTACTTCGATACGTCGGCATCTCAGAAGCAGTTTCGCATCCTTCGCTCGAACAGAATTGGCAAGCATTGGGATAATTGAGATTGCTTGTTGCGTTTTCGTCCGCACAGTACGTGTTGGTACTTCTTGCCTTGGGACTTCGTTTGAGGAAAAGCACAAGCATCCAAGGGCCTTCGTCATTTGCTTTGGGCTTCAGGGCTGCACTAGGAACCACTGGACAAGGTTGCAGCCGGATGAACTTGATCGATGGACGCAGGCCAGGCGAAGCAAGAGCCTTTACCGCTAGCACACTTGTCGGCAGGCCATCGAGGGCAGCGTGCAGAACTTGGAAGCGCGCGTGCAGAGCTCCCCCGGCCTTTCAGGCCGAGGATTTGCAAAGGGATTACTTTTGTCCACGGTGCCTCTATGCATTCCTTCGAAAACCTTGCTTTCGAGCGGTTGCCGAGCGTCTAGAAGGTGCTCGTCCATTCCTTTCCATCCATTCCTTAACTGGCAGTCTGTAAAGAAATGTTGCAGTGGACCAGAACAACCGCACTATCGCCAGCGTATGAAGCTGCCAACCTCGTCAGCTCATTGAGCTCTTGAGCCATTCAGGACACCTTGCGAAGCAAGTCCCCAGGATGGCTGCAGAGAAGCAGGGTGAGGACTCTGCAGGCCAGAGAGCAATGAGCATGTGCCGGCTGAGCGAAAGTAGGGTCCCTGTCGGCGGAGGTGTCGTGGTAGGCTCCGTACAGTGGGTACATTGCAGGGGATTTCAGAAGCAGATGATGGTTGCACTGCCGTGGTCAGGACGTGGTGCAGATCCTGATGCGACAGCTGCCCGACGTCTTGTTCAACAAGTCGTCGAGAGATGCTGCTCCAGGCCGGCTAGTTGTTATGTCTGCTGCAGTCAGAGCCGGTGGAAACTTTTATCGTGCATGCCAAAATTCTGCTTTCCCAAATCTGCATCAGGTGTTATCTGGATTCAGGAGCTACTTTTCAAATGATAGAGCTTCAGGGCTACCCGGCAGTCGCAACAGGCCTGGATGCAAAAAAGGATAGAGCTATCTCAACGGTCATGGAAGGACATGCGCGATGTGGGTTCGACGAAAAGCGGTGTTGTTTTTGTTATCAACATCCGAGATTATCAGCGGATGGAGCCAGGTCAACAGACGAGCTGTTGAATCGTCGAGCGGCAAGACAAGTGCTGCCACAGCCTTTGACAAGAGCATTCAATCGGCTCCTCAAGGCCTTCCTTCATCTTGCAACGCACACTACGATGCTTTCCGCCTCGAGCACTAGCGACTGTAACTGGCTCCCACCATGCAAGCCAAGGCGATGCATTCTTCAAAAGCTTTGTCGCACTGACAATGCCGGGCGGAAGGCCTTCTGTTAGACAGAGCTTGGTTGTGGTTTCTTCGACTTTGCACTTTTTCCTGCACCACCAGGACCCCGCGGTGCCTCTGGCTCGCGCGGAGGACTGAGAAGACAGCTGTAAAATTGAGGAAGCTTGAGGCAGCATCCCCTTTTGTAGGACAGTGCACCTGTGCACAACGTGACAGGTTAGGCGTGCGAAAGTCTTTTTGTGTTTGCTACCAGTTAGGATGCAAACAGAGAAGCAGCTGCTGAAACCGTTTCACCTCGAGTTTTTTCAGCTTTTTCAGACAGGGAGCCACGTTTGGTTCCCTTCCTGAGTGCCGGCTCCCGTCAGTGCCGACCAGTGTGGTGTCCAGGCCACTGTGCAGGACGATATGGTCGAAGACTATTTTGGAGTTCCCACTGTGCTGCCGATACAGACCACCACCTTTATGCCAAGAAGCTACCTCGTCAGCAGGACCGGCAGCCGTGGCACAGCAAGAGGCTTCGTCGTCAGCAGCACCACAAGGCAGAGAAGCCGCCCTCGTTCCCGCCCGGCAGTCCCGACTAGCTCCTGTTGGCTGGGATTCCGAAAGATGGGGCGCCGCCACTGAGGTCTTCCCCGCCGGGTAGGGGTGCTGGGTGGAGGGGGGCTTGGAGGGGTCTAAGGGGGCGAGGACGGGGGGTTAGGCGGGTAGCCTGGGAGTAGGGGAGGAGGTGTACCCAGATCCAAAGCCTGATTCGGAAAGCAAAAGAGACTGCGGTGCAGCAAGGAAATCAGCGGTTAGTTCACAACCCTGTGCCACCTCCCATCCCCGAGCGAAAGACAGCTTGCGAGTGAGTCTTGGGTGACCGCTTGTGGAAAGTGGTAGCTCAACCCGATGCAACTCGTCAGTGCTTGCAGGTTACGCACGTTGTTCCCTTTGCTTCCCGTCAGATGCCGCAGTTGCTAACCCAGCAGCTGTTCTGAATACAGCACCAGCTCCGATGAGCCCCTCCAGCTCAGACAAACCTCAGTGACGTGGCCGCCCGAGCTGGCTTCGACGCGGAGATGGTAGCATTTGTTGAACGCCAAACGCATCTCAAACAGTGGCCTCGTTTTGTATGATTTCAGAGACAGTTTAAAGATCGCACCCTTCTGGGAGCCCTTGCCGGCGGGATTCGACTTGGCAGGACCCGCTGTTAGAAGGTCCGAGGATGAACGCCTCATTCTTGAGGCTTTGGACGAGCTCACCCCAGCAACAGCGGGCCCGTCAGCCAGCCCAGCTCTTGTCAGCAGCTCAGACCCAAGAACTACTGAGACCCAAGAACTACTGGTCTGAGTACGTGCGCGAGTTCGAGTCCGTGGTCTAGCGGTAACCCAGATAGTTCCCAGCGCACGTGCTGTTAGGTGCTGACGAAGTGTTGGCGAGGATGGTGAATCAGCACCAGTCCTCAAAACAATACTCTCCAGTCAGGTTGGGAGAAATAATCACCTTAAGGCACTTTACGCCCAGCAAGGCCGCCAACCCTTCGGCTCGACCGCAACAAGTCCAAACTCATCCTGGATGAGTCAGGTACTTTCACTAAGGCGCTGCGACACGTGCCAGAATTGCAGAAGTTGGTGACCCTGCTTATACGCAATCGGTTCAATCAAATGACGTTTTCCCGATGGTGCGATGAATGCGACGCGTCAGCGTGGGCAGAGTTTCGGCAAAATCTTTGCCGAGATTACCCGAATCGTTACCCTCAAGTGCGTGCTTTCTTCGACAAAACCTTTCTGCATGTCACCCTCCAGACGCGAGCCAACAAGTCCTTCAGGCAAGTGTCGACTGAGGTGATGAATTGGCCAAAGCAAGACGAGCCCAACCGTCCGGCCCCGTTCGACTCCTCTGAGCCTTGGAAGGGCAAAGGGGAGCACAGACATAAAGGGGAGCACAAAGACTGGAAAGCTGTTTGCGCAAGGTTACTGCTGTCAGTTTGCCCACGGCAACCCCCCAGCTGCGATTCAGCTGGCACAGGACAGGGAAGTCAGTTCCCGCCGGTCTTACCAGCCGCACCTCTGTGCTTGACGCCCCGTCCTTACGGACAGCGCGGCCCGCTGCTTGCAGTGAGAGCCGACCCCCCCCCCCCCCCAGGGCCACTCCACAAGCCGTCTTGCTTTGCAGGTGGTGCTCGCTTAGAGGGCGCCCAACACCCTTTTCTTCGGTCAGAAACCTCAGACTGCTGCTACCCTAACCCTAACCTGTGCGTGCTTGCACTTTCCGGGTGTGCAGCCCCCAACCCTAAAGCTAAGGTGCTGCGACAAAATTAGTTGCGCCGCCAACGGTCTGCACTGTGTCGGGTGCGTGCCGCGGTCCACAACCCTCGCGCAGCCGGCCTCCTCCAACTCCATGGCTCCTCACCGCATGCTGCCAGCCGCTCTGTTTCCCGTTCTTCTCCACCACCTAACCTTACCTTGCCTCCTCTCCCTCATCAGATCAAGCACAATCCTGCTCAACCCTCACCCCGTGTGCTTTGCTCCCGTCAGGTCGAGCAAACCCACAGCCCGTCGGTGCTGCCTCACCCGCCTCGTCTTAGCCACATTTGCTTGCCACCCTGGACTTGGTGTGTCCCAACTTCCTGTCAGTCCTTTCATCTCCTCGGCCCGCATGCCTGCAGCCACCCTTGCTCGGTCCCAGCCAGGAAGCTCCAAAAGCCCAGCAGCGCCCTCTGTCACATCACAGGATCCGACTGCAGCGTTGCTGTCCTTTCATTCTTTTGCCGTTCTCGGGACCACCTTCCTGGATTTACGTGACTTGGGGATCCAGCCTAGTTACTCTCCTTTGGTCTTGGGAGACGGAACCCGACTGTCAGAGGGTATATCCTCGCGCACCCCCGTCAGGTGCACTACAGTAGCGACGCTACAAAAGCCGACCCTTGGAAGTTGCTTCACAAATACACGCTCAGTGCTCGTCAGACACACTTGCTTTAGTGTGCGCCAGCCCTCCTTGCGCTGACTTTAGCCAAGTGGGGTCTTCCCAACCGGGTCTCAGCGGCCCCGAAGGTTGCAAGTTTCGACTTTGGTGTTGATGGTTCCAGACCTTCCGTGGTGCTTTGAAATACCAGCACATTCTCTTGTTAGAGAAGGTCATCCCAAACGCCTCCCTGCGCAAGGATTTCGACCAGTTAGTGGGGTACCGATCCTTCGTGATAGATGCAGCCTGTTGGGGTGTTGTCTCCAAGCCAAGACTGTGTTTGTCGAAGCAATCGAGCCCCGGCCGATGACTCCAGTCAGCCGCCGCCGGTCCTGGCTGGACTTGCCAGGTGGAGACGTTTCAACAGGTGCTGGCAGCTAGTCCCCAGCTCCAGCCTGTTCCCACGTCAAGTGTACTTCAGAGTGCGCATCCGCAACTTTCCACGACGAGGTGAAGACAGCTAAGTCAGGCGATTGTACCTGTGACCAACCATATGGCACAAACCTGTCCGAAAGAACCAGGCGCAAGAAATGTTAGGCGACGCCTGGCATTTGCCTACAGCTAAGTTTGTTCTGTTTGTCATTCTCGCTACGCCGTCCCGGCGGTTGACAAGTGGTACCTCGTTCGGAGCATGGACCTGAGAGGGGGCTAAACTCCGGTCTCAAGTGAGACCCTCGCGAGCCTGAACCTTACACGACCCTTTCGAACACCTGCCCTGGGCCAAGCTCGACAGCCAGACCCTCAACTTCCTCGGCTAGAACCCGTGTCTCAAATGGGCTCTACACTTCGGCCAGAAGTTCGGTCCGAGCATGGAGACATGAAGGAGAGAGATGGTCGCTGATGCGTGCAAGCTCCGCGAAGAGCTCCAGGATGCTCACGTTCGACTTGTGTACCGACACGGTGGAGCCAAGTACGTGCTCTAACCCCTTGTCGTGTTGCACTTGCTGACCTTGTTCGAATTTCCAGGTAACAAAGAGCTGGCAGAGGAGCTCCAGTTCGGCTTCAAGGTCCTAGGCCCCCTGCCGCCAGGAAAAAGTTGGGACGTCTGTCAGGACGAGAAGTACAGCCGACCCCTGGCCAAATCCCAGCTCGTTGAGCTTAGCCAGGTGTATAAGGGGGATCTGAACATGCTCCTGCCATGTTAGCCGAAGCGGAAAAGAGCAAACTAAGACCAGGTTCCAAGGCCCGTTCGAGCCTCGTCGACTTGCGCGTGAACCCGGGTACCTGCAAGTGTCACGAATGCGTCAGCGTACGTCATGTGGTCGCTGTGGCTGGAGGCACTTTCTCAAAGGGAAGAAGCGGGGCTTAAGCGGGGGTAGCAAAGCTGACAGGTTTGTCAGAGCAGACGTCAGGGCCGGGTTCAACTTCTTCGGTGGGAAGGGG